AAAAAAAAAAAAAAAAAAAAAAAAAAAAACCCAGGATCTAATGGGTTCACTGCTGAATTCTAATGAATGTTTAATACCCTATATCCAATTCTATTTAAACTGTATCAAGAAATTAGAAAGAAATATGTTTAAACTTATTTTACTAGGCCAGCATTTTTCTGATACCAAACCAGACAAGGACAGAGTAAAAATAGAAAACTACAGGCCAATATCCTTGATCAATATAGATGCAAAAATCCTCAGCAAAATACTAGCAAACCAAATTCAACAACACATTAAAAAGATCATTTATCATGATCAAGTGGAATTCGTCTCAGGGATGCAAGGATGGTTCAAATGTGCAAATATATTATATATGTAAAAATGTGATGTATTATATCAACAGAATCAAGGACAAAAACCCTATGATCATTTCAGTAAATGCAGAAAAAGTATTCAATAAAATTCAACATATCTTCATAATAAAAATCAATAAATTGAATATAAAAAGAAATCTCAACACAATAAATGTGACATATATGACAAAACCCTCAGTTAATAACATACTAAGCAGGGAAGAATTGAAAGCCTTTCCACTAAGATCAGGAACAAAACAAGGATGTCCACTTTTACCACTATTCAACACAGTACTGGTGGTCCAAGTCAGAGAAATTAGGCAAGAGAAAAAATAAAGATATCCAAGTTGGAAAGGAAGAAGCCAGGGTATTCTTGTTTGTAGATGACATGATCACAAGTCATTTCCTACTTAGAAAAACCTAAGGACTCCACACCAAAAACTTTTAAAACTGATAAATTCAGTAAAGTAGCAGGATACAAAATCAACATACAATTAGTAGCATTTATATAGGCTAACAGTGATGAGTCCTAAAAAGAAATGAAGAAAGCAATCTCTCTCACTACACACACACACACACACACACACACACACACACACACACACAAATACTTAAGAACAAATTTAAGAAGTGAAAGATCTCTACAAGAAAAATTATAAAACACTGTTGAAAGGAATCAAAGGAGGCACACAAAAAATTAAAAAATATTCCATGTTCATAGATTGGAATAATTAACGTTGTTAAATTGGTCTATACTAGCCAAAACAATCTATAAATTCAATGCAACCCCTATCAAAATACCAATGGCATTCTCCACAGACATAAAAAAAAAAACTTCTAAAATCCATAGGGAACCACAAAAGACCTTGAATAGCCACACCAGTCCTGAGCAAAGAGAACAAAACCAGAGGCATCACATTACCTGATTTCAAATTATACTACAAAGCTACAATTACCAAAATAGCATGGTACTGGCATAAAATCAGACACATAGATCAATGGAGCAGAATAAAGAACTCAGAAATAAATCCATGCAGTGATAGCCAACTTACTTTCAACAAAGGCACCAAGAACATATATTGGGAAATGACAGTCTCTTTAAAAATTGGTGCTAGGAAAACTGGACATATGCAGAAGAATGAAACAAGGTTCCCATAGATTACCGTACAGAAAAAACCAACTCAAAATGGATTAGAGACTTAAATTTAAGACCTAAAACTGTAAAACTACAAAAAAAATTGGGAAGATGCTATAGGACATTGGTCTGGAGAAAGATTTGTTTGCATAAGGCCACAAAAGAACAGGCAACCAAAGCTAAAGTAAACAAATGGGATTACATGAAGCTAAAAAGCTTCTGCACAGCAAAGGAAACAGCCTACAAATTGAAGAGACAGCCTACAGAATAAGAGAAAATATTTGCAAACTATTAATCTGATAAGGCATTAATAACCAGAATATATAAGGAACATAATAACTATAACATAAACACTCTGATTTTTTATGGGCAAAAGATCTGAAGAGACATTTATCAAAAGAAGACATGCAAATGACCAATAGATATATGAAAAAAATGCTCAACATCACTAAAACTAGAGAACTGCAAATCAAAACCACAATGAGATATCATGTCATCTTAGTTAGAATGACTACTGTCAAAAAGATGAAAAATTTGAAATACTGGGAAATATACCAATAAAAGTGAACGGTTGTATACTGTTAGTGGAAATGTAAAGTAGTGCAGCCATTATGGAAAACTGTACAGAGTTTCTTTAAAAAAGAAACTAAAAATAGAATCATCATATGATCTAACAATTCCACTGATGGGTATATATTCAAAAGAAATAAAATCAATATGTTGGGGAGATGTCTTGACTCCCATGTTTATTACAGTACTGTTCACAACACCCAAGATATGGAATCACCATAAGTGTTCATCAACAAATGGATAAAGAAAATGCAGTGTGTGTATGGGTGTGTGTATATACACAATGGAATACTATTTAGTCATAAAAAAATAGTTATCTCATTTGTAGCAATATGTTTGAAACTGGAGGTCATTATCTTAAGTTAAATAAGCCAGGCACAGAAGAAAAATGTGACATGTTCTCACTCACATGTGGGCACTAAAAAAGTGGATCTCATGGAAGTATAGAGTAGCATGATAGTTATCAAAGACTGGGAAGGAAAGGGGAAGGAGATGATGAAGAGAAGTTGGTTACAAAAATACAGTTAGAAGGGATAAGTTCTAGTATTCAATAGTACAGTAATTATAGTTAAAAATAATACATTGTATATTTCCAAATAGCCGGAAGAGAAGAATTGTAATGTTCCCAAAACAAAGAAAAGATAAATGATTGAGGTGATGGATATCCCAATTATTCTGATTTGATCATTATACAGTATACAGGCATCAAAATATTATAGGTACCCCCAAAACATGTACGACTAATATATATCAATAAAATGTTTAAATTGTCAAAAAAATAAAATACCTTGATTCTCTGCTTTTAAAATGATTCAGCATATAGAGGGCATGGATTTGGGCCCTCTGCCATCTGCTCTTTCACCTGCTACCTCCTCTCCTAACTCTTTAAGAATTAGCCATACCAAACTACAAATGGTTCGCCTGGTGCCTCCCATTCCTGAGCCTTTCCCCAAATTGTTCGTTTTTTGCTGGAATTCTGTAAACAGCCTCATCCCCTCATCTCCTCATTTCATGGAGCTAACTCCATATCCTTTAAATCTCAGCTTTTTCTCCAAGCAGCCATCACTGATACATCCCAAATTGACAAAACTGCACTATGTGACTCTCCTGTGTGCTCCCATAGCCCAGCATACACACAGTCCTGTTTTTACCATGTCGTTTCTTTCTATGATTGCTAGTCTGTCTGTTTTACTAACTAAAACTCCAAGACGACATGGATCTTAACTCTTTTGCTTTCTTATGTATCCTCATTGTTAGCAATGTGCTTGGCCCTCAATATATATTAATATAAAAGTATTTTGGAATATTGGAATGATAAATGATTTTGTCTCTCTACTTTCCAAACTTTTTGCACATTTATTATATAATCTTCACAATAAAAGACTTATAATCACTTTTTAAAAAGTGATTTTTTTTTTTTACCAAATGAGATTACCACCAATTTCAGATCACAGATTCTGAGTGATTTGAGTCTGATCTAATCTGATAGTTGGACTAATAGAAATAGTCACTTGCTTCAGTGGTTGAATTAACACTGTCTTTCTCAAATCAGATTCACCTGGAACATTGGAAGAAGGCATTCAAGAAGAAACAAATATTAAGGAGGTATATTTAAAGAGCCTTTTTAAAAGTTTTATTTTGGGTAAAAGAGAGTCTGGAATTCATGGAAACTACCAATGTGTTTACCTTATTCCAAAAAAGTTCATCTGCTAGTCACTTTGTAGATTTTGGTGTAAAACACTTATTTTAGCACTGGGTACAATGGAAATTATACTTATTTTTAGGGACATATTAGAGAAATTATACAAAAAAAAAAAAAAGAAAAGTTCAAGGGATGCCAGAAGATCTGTCTTGAATCACATTAGCAACCAGCACTACCAGGATGGCTACAGTTGTAGCATACTGGAGCCCTTTCCACTCCTCTTTGTGCCAAAATGTGGACTGACCTTAAGTCTTTCAGTGCTACCTCAGCTATGCATTTGGGATCCTTAAGCCTGAAAACAGTTTGCCCTGTGTTCACAGTGCATGACAGAAAGAAAGAGCTCAATAATAAATGCTCTAATAAGATATATCCCAGCTTACCTACATTATTCAGAAAGTCCCACAAATATTGATCAATTTCATGTTCCTCTATGACCGTGGGGATCTTGAGATCCTCAAAATCCTGAGTCAACTTCACAATAGGATTCCAAGCTATGAAACACTTAGGACTCTGGAACTGAAACTGAGCAGAGAGAAATATAATGAAAATACCTCACCAAATCTACATCACCCTACCTGTGTCTGGGCTCCGGATGCAATGGAGAGTTCATTTTTAGTTTTAGTCTCTGCCAGGTTGGTTGTGTTGCTCCGGAAGATATAATACCCAGAATCTGATAAATGTCTGCTATGAATACATCAGCCATAAAATTGTGGATTTAGTTGTTAAATATGTATTTTACATCAATTAAGCCTATTTGTTCTATTAGCACTAGACATAACTTCTGAGAACAGACACTCCTTTTGTCCTCAACATCTCCTCACAAATATATGTTGAATGAAAGACGATCGTAGGCTCTGTGGCAAGCTAAAGATCTGCATCCAAGTGCCCTGGCCTTTACGAGGACAGCACTCCTCTCCAGTAGCCAAGTTTCCATCTCTCATGAAAGAGGGATGTTCACTGTCTCCCGAAAGTATTTTGGAGACTTCTTGGGAAAAAGTTTCCTCAAACCTTCCCTATTTATTGCCTGTTGAATGAAATTCATGGTGGAATAGCATAAGGGCTAAGAGTTTGGGCTCTGGTATGAGACTTTCTGGATTTGACTCCAGATTCTGCCACTTAATAGCAATGTGACCTAGGGAAAATTTTTTAACCTATGTAAGCATCAATTTTTTGTGTATGAAAGAGTGATAATAGCAATACCCACCTCTTTAGAGATCAAAGAAATGAAAAGTACACTGCACAGTCCTTGGTACAAACAAGCAATTCCTATACACAGTTACCATTATTCTTGGCTCACCCCTTCTTAATATGGGAAACTGCTTCTCCAAACATCTTTGGCTCTTCCCATATTAATTCTCTAAAAAACATGGATACACGCACCTATTCTAATTCTCCCAAACACAGCTGCTTCTGAAGGCTAAGGAATAACAAAGGGAGATAACAATAGAAAAATAGACGAGGAGGACATTTAAAATAAAATATTACATGACTTCTAGAGTCCACTGACTAGGCCCTCCTTTTTTTTTTTTTTTTAAAAAAAAAAACAATGCTGCCAAACTTGTAGGATTTAGCTTAATAGCACAGTTGGAGGAATCAGAGGAGGAAAGCTAATGTTTTGTATGAACCTAGTCTCAAAGAGTGCTGCTTTTCCATCAATTAAAAAAATGATGGCATGGTGGTTGTTAATGAAGCAGGAGTGTGAAAATGAAAGTTTGTGAAATGGCAGGAACATTCGCTATTAAGACATGTAAAGAAAATCATCAAGTTCTGTTGTTTAATAAATGCTTTTTTTCCCTGAAGTTAGATCCTGGCTGTGTTAGAGTCAGCTCTCTTCCTGAGATCCCAAACCCTTTCCTCCTCATGACCATCAAAGCCACTGTGGCTTTCCCTTTACATAATAAAACGCTCATCAAAGGCCTATCATCACATCAAGTAACAAAGTGTTTTGAATCCCAGGATGGAGCACACAGTGCTGTCACTGCCAGGAGTCCCCAGCCTTGCTCCCCACTCTGTAGACTGAATTCTACCAGCCCTGCTTTATAAATCTCACCCTTAATAACAGTCTCAGAATTTGAGTCCTGTCTCCTGTCTCAATTTCTAGATTCAAGAACGTACAGATTTTCTTGGTGATCTCAATGAGAAAGTTAAACTGTAAGGAGTCCCCTAGAATAAACCTAAGGAAAGTCAGGTAAGCCACTCCTGTTTCCTAAACAGGATCAGGAGTACATCTATCCCTGGAGATACAGACCGAAGCCAAAGTTCACTTGCCGTTTATGTGATAGTGAGAATTACAGTTATTTCCTCTAGCCAGCTGGTTCTTCTAATGATGGTGTTTCTAAGTTGTAATTTGGAGAATTAACTTTAAAATAAGAGTCCTTTATCTAGATTTCTGAAAACTTTATATCCTGGTTTTCACTGTATATTCTGCTACTTAATCTCACGTGCAATACTGGCTCTCAGTTTAGCAGGTTATTTTTCAGGCTAACACGTACTGTTGGAAGATATAAAAAGATAAGTTATGACTTCACTTCTCAAGTGTTTATGTTCTAGTTAAGAAGATAAAACCTACCAGGAGGCAATTAAATGACCATAAAAGATATAATGTGTATAATGCCAGCTGAAGTTGAATTCAAGAGAGAAATGGCTGTCTGTGAGAATGGGCAAAGTCTTTGTAAAGAAAGCAAGAGGATGTTCACAAAAGAGGATAGCAGCACGGCTATTCAGGCACTTTAGTCTCTGGCCAGAGACTGAACACCCTGTTCTGGAGCAGGATAGGAGCCTCCACCACCAGAATTATGGAAAGTGCCTCAACAGTAGATGCTGGAATTGTGCTTTTCACCCATTGCAAGCCTGAGGTAGGAGGAGAACTGCTACAGCTGTAGTTTCTCATGGGTGGTGAGACTTGCAGCCAGGACCAGCTTGGCAACCTGGAACTTATCTGTATGTGCCATTGCTGGGTGCCTTATCCTGCTCCCCTGGGATTGTGGTGCAGTAGGGCCCTCTCTACTCAACCCCCAGGTAGAAATCCAGGCATTTGGAGCAGTCATTCACCTTCTTGTTCAGCACCCTAAGCCATCCTACCCTTCCTGGACACAGATCATGGTTCAGTGGGGCTCTTTCTGCTCCCTACCCAGGCAGATCACCCATTTACCTTGTTGAGAGCACCCATTTGCCTTGTTCAACAGTCTGAACCACCCAACCCTTCCCTTCCATAGCTCCTCGTGCATTAGGGCTCTCTGCTCCACACCCAGGCAGACCTCCAGGCATTTGGAACACCCATTCACCTGGTTGAGCAGCCTAAGCTGTGCCATCCTCCCTAGACATAGACTGTGGTGCAGCAGTGCTCTATCTGCTCCATAAGAAGTCAAAACCTACCAGAAGGCAATTAAGTAACCATAAAAGATACACTGTGTATAATGCCAGCTGAAGTTAAAAAAATTCAAGAGAGAAATGGCTGGCTGTGAGAATGGACAAAGTCTTTGTAAAGAAAGGGAGGATGTTCATAAGAGAGTATACAATATTTCCAGACATTTGGGCCACCTGTTTGCCTGGTT